AATTTGGGAAGAGACTAGAATTCTTCGTTCAGAGATTGGAGTATTAATTTTGTCCATTATCGGACACAAAACGAATAAAATACTGTTTATATTGATTTCTTTTACTTTCAGCGATTTTTCTTTGCATTCTGAGGACATTAGTTTTGGTTTGCAAAAATTCTTCAATATACCGGGTGTTAGTTAATATTCTATGTTTACTTCATTTAATTAACGTATGATATACTGAGCTAAGATTGTCGCTTCATATTTTCATTCATAGCATTGTTATGTTTTTTAATCTGTATCATTTCATGGACTCTTCTCTTATTATAATTACTCTCGTTAATCAGTATTTTTGCGTTATCAAAATCAATTATGCAACTTCTGTTGTACATGTTGTGCTAATGCTGTACCATTTTCGTTATTTTTTCTCAGGCTATACTTATGTTCGTATATTCTTTTCTTTAGATATTGTCCTGTTTGACCTATGTATGTGTTATCACAATTCTAACTTGTCAATGCTAGGTTTAAATTTTGTGAAACATTCATTTGCTAAGGATGTTTTTAGTTTTTTCTGCTATGTTGATATTATATGGTTTGAATATATTTTTATTTTTGTGTTAATTTCCGGTATATATGGTAATGATATATACTTGAAATCACCGTCTATTCTTTTATTTATGTTTTTCCATTTAGTTGAATTGTATATTTTATTTATCCTTTGCTTTATGATTGGTTCGAAAATTGATTAATTATAAAAATTAATTTTAGAATGTTTTAAAGTATTGCAATTGTGATGTATTTTAATATGGCATATGATGAGGCTGTTGACGAACTGTGGTTGTTTTTTTTTAATTAATTAAATTTTTTTTTAACTATCTGTTATTTTAGAAAAACTGATGATGGTGGAAAAATACTCCGAAACGTATTTTGATTAATTGAAGCACAGTCAGGAAAGTATACAGGGTTATTCACGCTATACGGCACGGAAGTTTGCGGCTAAACCGTTTGATTTTTAAAAAGTATTATTTTATGAATTGTCCGACGCCTACCGGGCGCACATTTTAAAAATATTTTTGTAATGTACAGGGTGTCCCAAAGGCTCTAAAGGGTGACCCGAAGGGTCTAAAGGAACAAAATAAGTGTCTGTTTTAATAAGATTTATAACACCTAAATCTTAAGGTTTTAGTTATCAACATCCAAGTACCATTCGATAGGCAATTAAAAATTGCATTTCCTGCTAAGCTAAAAAATATGGGGTTGCATTTAAATTAGTCAAGTTAGAGCCACTTAAAGTTCTTATTTGATTAGTTTAAATTTGTGGACACCCTGTATAAGATGGTAATTTTATCATCATTGGGATATAAAATATGGTTTCTTGTTACACTACACTACGAATTACGTTTACAGAACTTAAATAATTCGCGCGTATTTGACACATGAAAACAATATTAGATTTTGGTAAAATGCGAATTATTTAAAAAACCTTTAGATTTAGACATTACAAATCTTATTAAAACAAACACTTATTTTGCTCAGAGAATCGAAAAATGCAATAATATATAGGTTGTTTCATTTAGAAAAACACAACTTTGATACTTTTGGGGCTTTTAGGACATTAAAAAAATATTTTTAAAATGTGCACCGGATAGGCGTCTGCGGATTCATCAAATAATACTTTGCAAAAAACAATAATAAATGTATACTGCATACAATTCTCATTTAAGCCATCGGTTTTTACCTTGTGGCTGGGTCCAGAGTATAGGCTTTCCAGTCCTTGTTCAGATTATCGGGGGTAGTTTGGGCCAGTAGCCGATAAATCGACTCTCGCTCCGCCAGCACGTCCAGCGGAGTCATTTGCCCGGAGCAGTAGCTCCGGATCGCCCACGCGGCATCTAAGGAAGAGAGAAATCCGCGCGCACAGCCTGATCCGGTGGGCCAAAACGGCTGCAAAAGAACGTCTTAGTGCGGTTCAATCCAGGAAAATTAGTAGCGCGAGTACCTCAAGCAAACTGTCCCCCACCAGGATCATCAGTAGTCTAGATCCGTGGCGTTCCACGACCTTTGAGGCGTATTCTGCCGCATACATGGAGGTGAAGTCGAACATGGCCACATCCGGCTGTCCGTAGTGATTTACAGCAAATTCCAAGTGAGGCAGCTGATAGTTTGTGCTGAAATCGGCCGCCTGGCGTGCATAGTTTTGCAGCGCGTCCCGATCGACGTTCTCCGGCGCCAGCAGCTTCTCAGTATCGGACAAATCCTGCAACAAACGTTCGTCAAACCGATAATTCGCCGCTCCTGCACCGGGCCTCACCTGCTTGATCACTCCTTTCTCCAATAAACTGGCCTTCTTGGCGGTCATCACAAAGTAGTGGGTGTCGTCCTTGTAGTAGACGATATTCTCCAGGTCTATGCGGGTTTCCCCTTGCAGGTCCTTAAAGAACTTCTGGTTGAAGATGAAGGCGACGCCACTGATCTCCTCCACTCGCGCTTCCGCCTCCGACTTCTTGTTGATGAAGTTCGCGGTGATGGCTGGAAGGTGGTTGCAGTTTTAAATAAAACAAAGAGAAATGAAACAGCAGGTACGCACCAATGGCCAGTTTGCCTCTAAACTCCTTCCGCTTGAACCCTTGCAGGGTGTTGCGCTTGCCATCCGCACCAATGATGACGTCAAACTCGTACTGCGCCACCGGGTGGTTCTCCGGCTTGATTTCCGCCCTCCATCCGGTCTCTGGGGGAAAACCCAGGCGATTTAAACTCCACGCGCTTGAAAGCGCCCAAAAACTCACTCTCAGCAGCACTGGGCTCGAGCAGGTGCTCGAAGCTGACTTCCGTGTGAACTTCCACGCCCAACAGCAGAGCCACCTTAAGTAGAATGCACTGCAGCTGCCTGATGCTGATGTGATCGATCGCCCCCGCGCAGAACTTCCCGAAGAACTTCTTGGCGCCGAGCATGCGCAGATCTTCGATCACAAAGGGCCACAAGTGAAGGACGTTGTTTCGGGACAAGCGATCGCGCTTCTCTATCAGAACCTGAAACGACCATGAAACACTTGAGCATGTTGGTTGGCAGCCTGATCGCGGGGCTTCAGTACCACTTTAGCGCCCAGCAGCTGCGCCTCGATGGCGGTGCGCAGCCCGCAAGGCCCCGCCCCAATCACCAGCACTCGGGTTCCTGCGCAGATTTTCCCTTTTGCGTAGCACTTGTGGAAGGCGCGCGCGTCGAACTTTTTCCAAAGCGCTTTGGCCCTCCACGACGTGAGATTGGCCCGAAGCTTGGGGTAGAAGTGGGGGAACACGTTGGGCTTCAAGTGGAGAAACTCGCACATCGACCTGGAGCGAGGAGAATGGAAATTAGCACATTTCCCGTGGCGTCTAAGATCAGTGTTGGGCAAAAATTGATTTTTATTTAAAAAATCAAAAATCACTGATTTATTTAAATTAATCAAAAAAATCACGATTTTTTTGATTTTTATTAATTCCATTGATAAATCCGCTTAATTATGTAAGACGTAAGTAAATAACGAAACCAATAAATCCTAAACGACCACCTAAGTGGGCATAGAGGCCGTGCAGATAAAGGTTGACATGTACAGTAGC